CGGGCGGGCTGCGAGGCCGCCCTCGCGTCCGTTTCGCTGTGGGCGCGAGGGGCACGGGAAAGCAGCTCTCTTCGGCAGCGGAGTCGTAGCCCCAGTTACGGTTGAATCCGAGGGAAGAACGGTTTATTATTTGAAAAATAAAGCAACGATGTGGAAAGCTCCTTGCTGTCTTCAAAATACGCTTTATTTAGTGCCTGTTGTGTTCTCTTGTCTCGTTGCGAGGTATCCTGTTTGTCCTCTGCGTAGGTGGAAACAGTGAAAACCCTCTCTTTTTAGGCTGCACAAAAAGCTGTAATTCTATTTCACTGCCTGGATCTCCAGCCTGTTACTCCAGTCAATAATCACATAGTGAATGCTTTATGTTATGATTATCAGTTGTCATGCATAAGTAATCTTCAATTGGTAGCTAATCATACTGGCTCCCACAGAAAATCCACAGTCTATATGTCCTGCTATAAGTCTCTTGAGTCTCAGCTCCCTGAAAGGCAGGCAGCTGTTCTGCTTGTGTTATACTTGCTTATGCTAGTGAAAAATTGATTATGATTTGTTCTAAGAATCCAGTGCCATGCCTTGGCAGCGTGAATTGATTTTGTAGTAGGCACATGGTAAGTGATGTAAAAGAGAGCCAGTTTCCAAAACATCAGCTGGTAGATGTTAGGAAACTGATTACCATCTCCTTCCATGTGTCTGATGGTTTGTATCTAGGCAGAAGCAATTCTTCAGCTGCAAAAGGCTGTGACTGAGAATTCCAAAGTTGGTAAAGTTTGTGACAATGATGTTTAATTTTAGCTATTGTCCTATCGTGCACACCCTGAGCTCCCAAATGCACACTTGTAATTCTCTTTAAAACTTGTCTGCTTTGGCTGTGTGTGGATTTGGAAGTGGGATACATAAATGTATGCTTCTTAGGAACTGTTTTCAGTTTGGCTAATGCTACTGTCAAGTAAGTTAAATACATAAACAGGGACTCTTGAGTATCTTTCATACAGAAAAAAACCACATTGCTATATAAACTTGTGTTATTTGATGGTTTCTTTGTGGCATTATTAGTAAAAAAAGAACTGGAAGGGCCTTGGAAACTGTGTAATTGTTCCAGATGAGTGGTATTTTTTGAAGACATAGTCAAGAAAAGACGATATATAGGTGGTGTGCTTCAAGCTCTGCAGTGTTTGAGGGAAGCAAGGGAGGGAGAATGCTGAGTGCGTCATGAACACCAAGTGTAGAAATTGGGATGTGCAAACCGACATGGCTTTGTGGGTTTTCTTGCTGGATTGTCCGGTTTAGCATACGTTAATTTCTTTCAATCTGTTTTGTGAATATTTGATCATTAGTTGAGTTGTGTGCACGTTGTTTCATAAACTATTACGGTACACAACAAATTGAAAAGTTAAGGAGGGATGTTTATGTCATATAAGGTGAATGAATGCTACTAAGAGGCAGATGACTGGAGTATAATTCTGCAGTTTTCTAACTGGAAGGGTCTTTTACCTTGACATGGTGCATTTTTTTCCTCTAGTTTGCAAGTCATGTGCTCTCCGAAGATTTTCCATCCAGCCTGCCCAGCAGAAGAAGATTCCAAACCGGTATTTGGGCCAGCCCAGCCCCTTCACACACCCACACCTTCTCAAACCAGGTTAGGTACAGGCCCTGTATGAGCCAATCATTGGTATTCTTTCTTGTCTGTATTTTGCTGAGATGTCTAGGACAGAGTATTGATTTGCTGCATCATACAGGTGTCTGATTTCAGCTGTTTATGATTACCTTCATTAGGCAGTAATTATATTTAGTAGTTCATTTCCTTGTCTGAGATGATACTGATTCCAAAAATAGGCATCACATGTTAGCTTTTTACCGTTTTCTCATGGGGTGCTCGGTGTCACTGACTTCAGTACTGGAGACCTTTCATGGCAGTGGCATCTTGGGAGCTCATTGTCCTGCAAATACAATACAATTTATATTAAGGGAGAGTCCTTTGTGCAAGCTGAACTGCTAGAATGCTTCATATCTAATGTCTTGCGGGTCACAAAATAAAGGTGTCATTCAGAAAAGGAGATCAGGGAGAGATTTATTGAGAGATGGACACTACTTGTCTAAAAAAGCATGCCCCCTTCAGAAGAGTATTCAAGCTGTGAGGAAAAGAAGAAAAAGAGACTTGTGGCTATAAAGTTAGAAGGTAGTGATGAAAGAGAAGCTGAAGTTGTGCAGTTTTATGAGATTAATGAAAATGAACATGTAGGTATGAGATGACCATGATTAAATCTAAAAAAAATGGGAAGTAAAAATATGTTCAAGAATATGTCCAGGAAAACATTCTGGTTCTGTGTTCTTTTTCCATAGATAGGTGTACAGAAAGAACAGATGAATATATAACCGTGCACTTACATATTTAACTGTAGAAAAATTCGGGTCAGAAGGGACCTCAGGACGTTACTGGGTCCACCCTCTGCTCAAAGCTGAGCTAACTTCAATATTAGATCAGGTTGCTCAGGGCACTGATTAACAGTTCACAGTAAATGAGGTTGACACTTTAAAAGTAGTCACAGCTGAAACACTGGAGATTAGTTCTAGCTGCCCATAGTAATTTTCCGTTTAATAAAGGAGTGGTGTTTTCCTTCAAATAATACAAGATTGTTTTATTGCAATTATTGTTTTAAAAAGCAAATGTCTTTAAGGCAAAGAGAATTTCCAGGCCTTGCAGTCAGAAGACAAATGGGATTCCCCTGTTCCACCCTACTGCAGCTTCTGAACTTCACTGGACTGTTTGTGATAGTTAGAAAGCTGACTGGAATGCAGCGGAGCATAGGAAATTTGCAGTGTAATATTGCGGAAATGGGGGGTCAGATTGCATTAAAACAGTTTCTGTGTTCCCTGTCATTTCTAGATCTACAGAGTAAAACAAATTTGGTGGTTTTGGTTTTTTCTTTAAAAAAAACAAACAATACTTTTACACCAAATAGGTGTTGGGGATGTATGGTGTTGAAAAGGTGTAAAGTTTAATGCAAATACAACATATGTGATTTTCTTAAACTCTCTTTTGTCAAGGAAAAACATTCTGAATAGAACTTCCCCCTCCTACCCCACCCATGCAAGAACCCACTTACCGTACAAGTCAAATTTCAATTTTTATTCTAGAATTGTCACTGTGTAATACATTGAAGAGGAAGAAAAGATTATGAAAGTAGAAAGTTAACAGTATGAAAATGCAATCTATGTTAAAATAGGGTATTAGCCAAAGTACTGATTAAGGCTCGTGTATTAATTTAAATCATAGTTAAGGAGTCTCACAATTTTAAAAATACGTACTTAAGCTGTTGTTGGTTGTTCTTTCAACTTCAGTCTGGTTTTGGTGAGTATCTTGATCACAGTACTTCGTATCCTTCGTGACCGGAGCAGTTTAAAACATACTTTTGTCTAAGAGATAATTTGTTTAGTTAGAGTCATTAGGAATATAGTATTTAACTTTGGAAAAATCTGATTGTTAATTATTGAGAAAAGCTACATCTGCCCTGGAGAAGATTCCTTCTCTTAATCGGAGTCTGCCACCAGCCTGCAGTTCATGGTTTCTTCCTGCCTGGAATCTTGTGACTGGTTAGACTCTGCAACCTCTGTGTTTCTGCCTGATCTCCCAGTATCTGTAACACTCAATCCACCCCTTATGGCTTAGAACTAGTTACTTTATGAGTTGACTTAGTGTGTATTTGAATAGACATTCTAGCTTTATCTGAGGAAATTAATGCTCAGCCTTAGGAGGTAATCTTCTGTTCAATGTCCAGATGCTATAAAACCCTTCAGCTTTCAGCAGCCAAAGTCCAGTTTGCCTTGCCCCTTCCTCTTTTTTTACATGTCTTTCTGAAAACATCCATCTGTTTTGGATGTTTGTCTAAATCTACCAGGTTTTGTGATTTCTGCTTTTGCACAGAAATACATAACAGAAAATCCGATTTGTTAAAATAAATTTCTGTCTTTGCATGATGGAGGAGCAGATTGAGTGAGGATGTGCTGTAGGAACGGAAGCTGAAGAGTTGCGTGAGAGAGCAATGGAAAGGCTAATGAGGGACCACAACGAAGCCATGCATTTGAAAAGCATGAGGGAGTAAGCAGGAATCAGGCATGTGACTAGTAAAATATTGTGAGTGCCTTGAATTTCTCGATCTCATTTGTTTTGTATTCGTAGGAGAGGTAACCCCGGGATTGTCACAGGTGGAATATGCTCTTCGCCGACACAAGCTGATGGCATTGATCCAGAAAGAAGCCCATGGCTGGGAAGGATTGGACCACACAGTGATTCTGCTATCCAACCCCACGTACTACATGAGCAATGACATCCCCTACATTTTCCACCAGGACACTAACTTCCTGTACCTCTGTGGGTTCCAGGAGCCTGACAGCATCCTGGTGCTGCAGAGCATTCCTGGCAAAGCGCTGCCCTACCACAAATCCATACTTTTTGTGCCCCGGAGAGATCCAAGCCGAGAGCTGTGGGATGGGCCCCGATCAGGCACAGATGGAGCAGTTGCTCTCACAGGAGTAGATGAAGCTTACACCATTGAGGAGTTCAGGCACTTGGTGGCCAAACTGAAAGGTAACAAAAAATGGAGGGGGAATGAGGTGAGATGTGGTTTGCAGGGTCTGAATGGTGTGGGTTTGGAAGGTGGTCTGTGACCCCAATTCAAGACTATCATGAACTTGGGGACATGCCGGGGGTATGACAGTGTGACAAAAGCAGTTGGAAGTTCTTGTTAGCTTCCTGAGGGTCACCAGTGGAAATGTAGTTTTGAAAATAATAGTTTTTCCTCCCCTCTGAATTTCTTGTGTACCCATGTGAATGCCAGTGCACATCTGTGAAACGTAAGGAACAGGATGAGCAAGAGAGCATTGCAAACTGTGTTACTGTTTTAGTCATATCTTTTTGCTGACAGAGCCAGAACCAGATGAATTTTAGGAAACTTGAAGGTATTTTATTCATAATAGACTTGGAAAATGATCTACACAGGAAGGTTGTTAGTCCACTCACCTTTTTTAGCTAGGTGTTGACTTACTCTTGAAATACGAACATTGCTGTCCTTTAGACGTGTTCTTCTGCAGCTAACATCACCATGTAGCCTCAATACTTATAATCCAGGGTGAACTTAAATGCATTATAAAATGAAGCTGAAGGCTTATGACAGTATAAAAAGGGCAAGCGCTTGGGGGATTACGCAAATAAATAGAGTGAATTCTGGAGTCTTAAATACCATCTCGGATTCTAGTTACTTTGTTTACAAAAAGGATATATTGAAAATAGAAAAGTCACAGAAAGGGCAACGAGGATGATCAAAAGTATAGAGTGCATGTGAGAGACATGCTGGAGAAACCTGCTCAGTTTGAAAAAGAGAAAACAGAAGGTAAGGTATGAGAGATGTGTATGGTTATGGAAAGCACAGAGAGGATGAGTAGGAATGATTAGTTGCTATTTTTCATAATTTACAAACAAAGGGAACGCTGAATGAAATGATCACATGGCAGGTTTTGACACCTTTTAAGTTTTAAGTTGTAGATCATTTATGGAAGGTTTGGAATGTCAAAAGTATAAATGGATTCAAAAGTTTTTAGTTCCTTGGGGGAGAGGTCCATGAAAAGCAGTTAATCACTGTTATGAAGATGCAGCCTTGAAATGAAGAAACCATAAGTGCGGAGGATGTGCTAAGGGAAATACTCTTTCATAAATGCCCAGTTTCTTAGAGACTTTTTGTAAGCAATGCTAGCATTGCTAGCATTTTGTAGCTGCTAACGGCTACTGTCACCAAAGAAGGAAGGCCTAGGTGGACATTAGCTGTGACTCAGCATGGCTTTTCTACTCATCCCCATTTAAAATGCTCCTGTGGGGAGAATGTGGGTGCTAACTCTGATGTTCTAAATAAATTTCAACATAGGTAAATATGTTTGTCCTCAGTAAGTTCATCTTCTCTCAATGGCTGAAATAAGCAGTTGTTCCCCAAAGATATTCTGAAGCGTAGTTGATAATGACCCTGATTCCGTGTGGTGGGTAAAAGATAAATTGCCTTACAGCATCAGGGGGGACAGGCTAAATGAGAGAACAATTCAGAACATGCACCACTGCAGTGCAATGACTACGTAGCTTACACAAGTGCAACTTTGATATGCAAACTCTGAATGGATCTGTGCAAGATGCATGTATTCGGTGATGATCGTAAAACCCGATATTTGCATAGAAGTGGGGATTTGTCAAATATACATGCTATGAATTGGTAATCTTCCAGATTTTGAAGACATTGCTAGTATCCTGTGCAGTGAAAGTGTCTATATGGTCTGTAAATGCAGATTCAGAGGAAATTAATTTCTCAAATATAGCAACAGGTCTAGTTTAGGAGGAGTGAGTTTGTTCAGTATGGGGAGGACATTTCTACATTTATTTTCATCTGTGTCAGCTTTTGTTTTGTATTCCAGGTGAATCAAACATTGTTTGGTATGACTTGACGAAACCAGTGCATACAGAGCTGCACTCTGACTATATGCAGTCCCTGGCTGAGATAAAAGTTCGGAACAAAAACCACATCCAGGGCATCCGACATCTAGTGCAAAAGCTTCGGCTGATCAAATCTCCTGCAGAGATTGAAAGGATGAAGATAGCTGGACGGGTGACAGCAGAGGTATGGGGTTGTGCGCTCTCCAGATGAACCAGTGCATTCCTTTAAAGAAGAAAGGGGAGAGGGCTGTCGATGGGGTGACATGGGTTGGAAGGGTAGCTTTGGTCTAATCTGTTACTGAACTGCTGCATCTCAACCATCAGCTGGGCTCAGCTCCCTCCACATGACAAGGGGAAACAGGAAGACTGCTTGGACTACCATCTTCTCTCAATTAGTGTAACTCCAGCGAAGACAAGCCAGCAGCTGTTAGACTTTGTTTAAAAGCAATATCTATTCAGGAACAGGGGTAGCCTCTTCACTCTCTTCCCAGCTTCCCTTCTCCTTCCCCACGCCATTTTCTTTTCCATTTATCCTGTTGATTTTGCAGAAACAGGATTTTTGTGAACACATTGCCTGTGTATGCCTCTGTATTCCCCCTTCTCCCTCAAATACCTTTTGAACTCATTGGCCAATTTTAAACAAATCTGACAGATACCTCAAATGCAATTATGTTTTTGTAAATGTTATTAAAATAGATAGCCAAATAGAAAAGAGAGGCACAGCTTATCCTTCTCTGAAGGAAAAGCTGCATAAGGCACTCCTATTATACGTGAGGGAATCCATAGGTGAGACAACTCATAAAATGCCAACCCATGGGATCAGCTTCAATCATCTAATCCTTTTTCAAAAACTAGAGTAAATCAGCCCCTAAATACAGTTTCACGGGGAACAGAGCTTAATTGGTTCTAGTCTTCACAGCACTCTGCATTTTCAGTTGCCTCTGGTTCCTGTGTTCTAGGCCAGCTGATTTTAGGCCTTCCTCAAAAGACAGCAGGTAAAAAAAAAGAACTTCCCTCAAGTTCAGGCTCATTTGCTAACTGAAAGGCCCTTCTTTTTCATAGGCTTTCACAGAAACAATGTTTGCCAGCAAATCCCCAGTGGATGAAGCCTTTCTGTATGCAAAGGTGAGTACTTTGTGGTTGGAGGTGAGATAGAAGGGATGGATGTTCTTTATCCTTCCAGGAAACTAGAAATGTCAGATCTCTCTATAATGTGTCTCCCACTGTAGCACATTGCTCCTTCACCCAACTCTTGCGGTTCCTAGGACGTGCGGAAAAGTCAGTGTGAGGAATTCTTCAGCTGTACTTCCCATACCCTTATTGAAGGAACGTAGTGGTTGTCTAAGTTTATCTGCTATTGATGTCTTTTTCTATTGTATTTAAATACAAAACCTGCTAAACAATCAGATATATAGTTATAATCTTACTCTATAATACAGTTCTATTGTACAGAATTTAAGTAGTTACAACACATATTTGTAAAGCCTGCTTCTCTTGACTCTAGCCTCTTACTACCTCAGATTACCACAGCTATCTTGAAGCAGTGTAGATGCCTCTCAGGACTAATTCGCCTGCACATTTGGTAAGGAATTACAGTGAGATGCCTGTTTGAGGCCTGCACATTTGGTAAGGAATTTTGTAAGGAATTACAGTGAGATGCCTGTTTGAGAAACATCAGCAGGATTTGACCCTCTGTTATGACATAGATGGGCCTGTGCTGACATGGCACTGACTTGTAAAGAAAATTATTTTAATTAAAGTGTATTTTACAGATCAATTTTTCACTCCAGATTAGGATCATAAAACTTACTTTACTACATGTAGGCATCCTGGAGTGTTCTGTCCCATGTGGTTTTGGTAATTATAGGAAAGACACATTATGAATATATTGAGGATAAAGAGAGTCTTTATAGATGTAAGTTTATTCATTTCCATGCTTTCATCAACTTCATCACTCAAGAAAGGTAAAGATCTTGAGGCTTACTGTGCCTTTTTTCTTTTTTTCTCCTCTCTGACATCAAGGTAGTGCATGCTTTCAAACCTTCTTAGTTCAACAGAGTCATGAAAATAGATACTGCTGTAAATATGCTGGTACTTTGTAATTTTAAAAGACAACAACAAAACATGGCTGTTGTCATGCTGATATTTAGGATCTTTGAAAATTCGCAAAGTCATATGACAACTAAGAGCATTACTTTATATAAGAACAAATCCTCACCTGGATTTATGACAACGTAATGAATGTTTGATGCAGTATTGAACAGCTTGCACCAGAAAGAGCTTCCATGAGACCAGATGCAGGCTTAAAACACTCTCTTGAAAAGTGGGTAGTTCTGTATTTTTTTTTCTCCAGTGTTCTTGGAAAACCTTCAAGGCTGCTTTCATTTAGTGAACTCACTTTCCAGTTTCACTTTGTGTTGTACGAATTAACAGTTGTAGGATGTGAATTACAACAGCCCCAGGGCAGTTAATCACCTGAATCAGCAGTAACGGTCTCCTCCTCTCTCAATTGGTATTCCAGTTTGAATTCGAGTGCCGGGCTCGTGGTGCTGACATCTTGGCATACCCCCCCGTTGTTGCTGGTGGCAACAGATCAAACACTTTGCACTATGTGAAGAACAATCAGCTCATCAAGGTAAACCATATGCTGTCCAGTAACTTAAAATGCAGTGCTGTGACACACTGTCCCCATATGTGTCCCCTAGCTGCTCTTTGTTTTGACTGAACAGATCAAAAAACTTATATATTTATTTTCAAGTGAGCGGGGAAAAGGAATCCTGCCCTGGTTAGTTTTACTGTCAGTGACAGATTAACTTCACTCCATTTAGTCTCTTTCTCTCCTCTTTGCACTTGCTGCAGCATTTTCTGAACAGTGGAAGGACTTGCAAACAAGCTTGCAAATAACTTCATTTAACGAGCATGTCTACTCCCACACCGTGTGCAGCAGTGTGCAGTGCTGGGTGGGTTGCTAACCTCACAAAAGAGAGGGACCACTGCAGCAGGCAGAGTGAAGGCACTGCGGGGGGTCTTCTGCTGTCACTTGCATTGCTTGGCCTTGCTTTGCAACATAAGGTACAATAGCGCATTCCTGCTCTGGCGAAGCTGAAAAGCGTTTTGGACTCTGTGTAGGCCTGCACAGCAGGGAAGGGGAACAAGGAGGGAAAGGATCAGCGTTAAATGTTGAGAGGTAGATTAGATGGCTGTAGGTAAATTAATGTGTCTTGTCTTATTTTGAAGATTCACATTATTGATTGAACCCTCTCGAGCTTTCCTGACAATACACCTTTAGATTCAGATAAGTATTTTCAGGAGCAGTATTCCCCCACTGCTCTACTCACGATTCACTCTTCAGAGGAGCATATTTTTCCTCTGTCTTAATGCAGGATGAAACTTTCCCACTAACATTGTCTTTTCTTGAAGCTGGCATGCTAGCAGACCTTGAAATGATCTGCAGAGACAGACGTACAAAAGATATGACAGGCTGCTTTTGGCAGAAAGAAGCCTCCTTTGTTATACTGTCATCCAAGGTCAGGCGTGCTCATGAAACTCCAGTTGCTTCTGTTAAAGTTGTTCAGTTAAATGACTGTCACTTGTTTTTTTCAAAACTGTTAAGTAGGAGGTTAAACCCATAAACTTGACTCTTTCTTTTCCTTTGTGTGCTACTTCCTATAGATCTTGTTGCCAAATAGGCTAACAAAGTGTCTAATTTGGAAGGTATCTGAATGCTGCTTACGGCCTCGTGTGGACTTCATTCAGTCTGCCACTTAGTGGACTCAGCTTTAAAGAAAGAGGACAAGATGCATGACATAAGGCACTTACTCGGACAATCAAACCACAGGCTGAATTCCCTTAGCCAATAAATTGTTACTTAGCTTGTTTAATTACTTGGAAGAGGGGAGGTGCTATAATTTAATATTTTACTTAAAGAATTGAACCAGCTATTCTGAAAAAGTTAAAAATACCATGTAGATGGGTAGTTAATGGCCTGTCTATTCAGTGGGATAGTGAGATCTGCTCACTGCTAGTTTATCTACTGTGTAAGTATTTGTGGCACTTAACTGTACACAACGATAGTAGCTAGCACTGGAAGTAGTGCTAGCAGTGAAATTCTGCTTCTTATTTTTTCCCTTAACGTGCTAGAATTATTCCTTGTCATTCCACATCATGGCTGCTGGCACAGTCTCAGATCTGTGGAGTGAATCTCTATAAAAGGCCTTGGATTACATGTAGTGTAAATCCATGGAGAATTTAATCCAAACTTTTTACAGATGTCACTGCTCTGTTTGTTGTTAGCCCCTTTAAGGAGGGAAGGCGAGGCAGGGATTTTGTTCCTGGCCCTTTGTCTTTTTTGCATGGCTTTTTGGAAGATGTGCAGTCAGTGATTTAATTGACGTGGAACGGTTTTGCTGAAGTGAATTGGAGGTTCACATCTCCAAAAGTTTTTTCTTCATCACCAGATAGATTCAGAAGCATATCTTAGAGCAGTCAAGAAAGTCCCAGAAGAGAACAGGGAAGATGGTATAAGCTATTCAGTAGTGCATTTACGGTAGTGATACGCTGTCAGAGAAGTGATTTTGCTGGGTCCTCCTACCTTGTGACAAGGTTAAATCTTTAGCTGTTAGTGATCTTGTGGGTAGCTCAGAAATCTGTTTTTGTGGCAAAACCCTTCTGTCTCAGTCACTAGCAGAGAACTTATAGTGAAAGGAGTCACTGGTGTAATTTGCTGGAGTAAGCGATCCAGGTGTGAATGGGACTGATGTCTCAGAGCGCAGAATAGTTCAAGGAAAATGTCTTTTTTTTTTTTTTTACTCCAAAGTGTTTGAAAATCCATGTTAAGAGTTATAAGGTTGTATATAAGCATAACAGAGACTACCTTGCAGAGAAACAATCCGACTGGAATAGCTGTTCATAAACAGTAGCACCTGTGGTGGTGTTCTGCAAAAGGAATTCACATCTTTGCAGCTGCTTTGCCAAAATAAGTACATAATCTCCTTCCTGCTCTCAGAAAAATCAATTCAGTTAATAGCCGGACTGACCCACAGGACATTTTTTCCTGTTATTCTCCAGGATGGTGAACTGGTCTTGCTAGATGGTGGATGTGAGTCTTCCTGCTACGTAAGTGACATCACACGTACCTGGCCTGTCAATGGAAGGTATGCTGCGATAAGGCTGTTTTGAAGAACTTTGAGAAGCTCTTAAATAATTGATGGATTGAGTGTATGTGTGTTTAATCTCTGTGTGAGTAGTTTTAACGTGTCCCATTCTGTGATTCTTCAGAGTAATCGAATTATATAAACTAATCTTTCAGTATGAGAAGCAGTATTCCCCACTGCCTCATTAATTACTGCATTAATATGTGTGATTACTGCTATTTTCAGCTATTACAGCACGCTTAAAGTGCAGAGAGGGCTTTTGTGCATTCAGCTGTGGCTGACTCTGGTTGTGTGTAAGAAAACAGGAGTTTACTTGACCTGTACATGGCTCTGTCAGTTGTGAATTTGCTGGTGCGGTGTCCCTGCAGTTGTGTGTTTAATTCCTGTATGTTTTGGCTCAAGTGCATTCTTTTTCCTGCAGTAGCTTTGCCTTGCTTTGCTTTGGGGTTAGGTTGTCAGCTGAGAAACCCTGCCAGAAGCAGGGGTTTGAAACACTTCAATACACCCAGTGTATTGAAGGGCATGTTGCAGTGATGCCGTCTGGCATTTCATATAAGGAGCCGTTGCTTTCCTTTCTGACTTTCCCTGCTCCAACATTGAACTGAATCTGTCCCCAAAATAGGTTCTGGGTGGAGGTTTAATTGTGAGAAATGTCCTTTGTTCCTTTTCTCAATGGTTTTCAGGTTCACCAAACCCCAAGCAGAACTATACCAGGCTGTCCTGGATATCCAGAAGTCCTGCCTGAGCCTCTGCTCCCCAGGCATGAGTCTAGAAAATATCTACAGCCTCATGCTGAGCCTTATTGGACAGAAACTGAAAGAGTTGGGGATCCTAAAGAGTAGCATCACTGAGAGCCCCTTCTTCAAGGTACTTGAAGTTTTTTTACTCCAGCTTCCCCCCACTAGGCCTGACTGTTTTCTCCTTGGGTTATGCTAGTGGCTTTAGTTTGGCTCAGGAATGTGCTTTTGAGATTAATCTTGTAATTGTCCCCACTCACCGTGCTTTAATTCATGTTGTGGGCTGGTCTCAATACAGGACTGGATTTCTCTCAGACAAGGCTAAACTTGAAGATGTGTTTCAACCATTCAGCGCACAATTTGGTCTGAAGTAACCCCCCAGTCTTACAGGCACATAGTGTGAATATGTGTTCCTCAACGCTTGCTGTTTCACCCTGCAGATCCATTCCCATTGGTCTGCACTACTTGTTAGTGTAGATGCAGCTTTAGAGTACAGACAGTCTGAAGGGACTTACAGAGACATTGGCACTAACAGAAAATTCTGGGTCCAGGGCTGGCTGCAGGCAATTAGTCATAGTTTTGTGATCTGTTTAACATAGCATAAATCTGCAGTGCCACCAAAAGGTGCAGCCCATTCTTCTCGGTCATTCCACCTGCTGCCTCTTCTGCACCATTTTGTGTTGGTATTGGGATTCACAGAGCGAATGTGAACAAGACTGGGAAACTGGTCTGCCTTGGAGCTGAACCTGCAGATAAAATAGGATTGGTTTGCAGTTAGAGAAGTTTATCCAGTCCCACTCACTGCAAACCTGTATTGGGATTCACAGAGCTACCTGGTGAACAAGACTGGGAAACTGGTCTGCCTTGGAGCTGAACCTGCAGATAAAATAGGATTGGTTTGCAGTTAGAGAAGTTTATCCAGTCCCACTCACTGCAAACCTGCATGATTGCTGATGCCAATACAAGAAAGATGGCAAAACCAGGTGATGGAACTACCCCTTTGGCAGCAGGACAGATTTCTGCCAGATTTAATTGTCCTACAGTGTCAGTGCAATAACAGCACAAGTTCTTGCCTGTGAACGGAGGCTATCATGCCAGTTTCTGTCGGCAGGCGGCAGCACAGCCAGATGAGACCAGCGTCTGTCTGCAGCTCACTCCCCAGTGAATGTGAGGAGCGTGGGGCAGAAGAGGAATTAGCTCTTTGATTCCTGCTGTCAAGGAGCTCCTCTCTGGAATGAGGGGGATTAGGGGATTAAGATGGTGTGGGGGGAGGCAGTGTCAGCGCCCTGTAGAGGTGGATTAAAATCCTGCTGTAGCTGCTGAGTGAAATCGGCACAGCATCCACTCTGTCGTGCATAGGAGACCTCTTTGCCGCATCACGTAGCAGCTGTATCAGCTGCTGTCGGTTGTCAGGGTCTGCTGATGGGAGCAACGCAGGGCTTGGATGTTTAAGGGATGGAAAGGGTTGGGGCAGGAAAGCTCACTGAGCCGAAAACTGAAGTCTTGCCTGAGATGCTGGGCTTGGGCTGTTCTTTTCAGAGGGGGGAAAGGCAGTCTGCAATATGCCTATAATAGGCACCTAGTACTGGTGGGTTTTGAGGGCCATCCAGTTCTGGTAAATGGAAGACAGTCCCTGGTGACCTAGTCATGGCAGTAAGATTGCTAGTTAAGCACATAACTATTCTGTCTCTTCTCCCCATCTTTTGTACTGGAACAAGAGGTTGGGCTGTGTTTAACTGCCTCCATGACACTTGTTTTGTCTTCTGCTAGGCTGTTCGAAAGTACTGCCCACATCATGTGGGCCATTACCTGGGCATGGATGTTCATGATACCCCAGATATATCCCGATCGCTCCCGCTCCAGCCAGGCATGGTGATAACCATTGAACCAGGTAAAGATACGCAGTCAGTGGTGGACAAAAACATGCAACACTGAGGATAACAGTATTGCTTTCAGTAATTAGTTGGTCCCTCAGACCAAAGCATTCAGGTCCTTTCTGGTGAAATTGAAAATGGTTACAGTATTGGAAAACATTAAGTTATTCCCCTCCCAAAGTCATTACAGTATTAGAAAACCCTATTTCCCTCCCAAACACAGCCAAGGTAACAAATCGTGTGAGTAAACTCTCAGACAGTGATCGAGTGCAGTGCAGAGAAGCAGGGTCAATTCACTTGTGCTGTGTTCTGTGTTATTGTGACTAAAGTACTACCAGTCACTGGTAGCATAAGTCTCAAGCATTGCAGTCTGCAATTACAGGCATTCACAACTTAGCTTTGCAAATTAGGCATTTCACGATGAATCTTTCTTTCTGCTTGTCACTCGATTTGGAGCTGTCAGCTGGAAACTGATATTTAATGTTTTGCTCTTCTCTCTCTCCGTTCAGAACACTGTTAAAATCATCATTGTGAACATAGCATTGAGAGCAAGAAGTGCAGAAAGGCCAGCTGTAATTGTGGAAGTTTTTATTAACATGTTAGTGTCTGTAAGCACTGAGGGACACTTTCCTTTCTTTGCCCACCAACTGCCATGAGTGAGGGGAAAGAGAGTAGCTTTCCTTATTAAAAATTTTCAGGATCAAACTCATGTTATGTTGCTGAAAATCCAACCCTGCTCTCATGGTGGTGCAGTAAGGGAAAGGTGGTTGTTATGGAGAGTGTTGTGTGTTTTAATTCCCTTCCTTCTTTCAGGCATTTATATCCCTGAGGATGATGTGAGTGCCCCGGAGAGGTTTCGTGGCATTGGTGTGCGCATTGAGGATGATGTTGTGATAACAGAGGATGCGCCTCTCATCTTGTCTGCTGACTGTCCCAAGGAGATCTACCACATCGAGCAGATCTGTGGCTGCAGCTCATGATGCCCCTTCTCTGCCTCTTTCATCCTCCTCAGGAGACGCAGCCCTCCAGGAATGCAGATCCCTGTAGCTGGCTATAGTTGTCAAGGGATGGAGGGTGTGGACAGTTGATGGCCGTTTCCAGGACTGGGGCTGGGAAGTGGAATGGAAAAAGCTTGGGTACTGAGGGATGAAAAAGCAAAGCAACCTTTTCTGTGTGCATTTTCCTTCTGATTTGATTAGTGCTGATGTTGAGCTTGTTGCAGGACATGGGAGTGGGTTCATCTCCCTGCTTTGTGGATCCATCTCTTCTGGTGCCCTTGGAGGGATGAATTTTGTCAGTGCCACCAGCAGGGCTTCTGCCTGGTCCCTCTCCAGATGCATAGGTATGACTGCTGAGACCAGGGTCTCGTTTTTTCCCCTTTAGCAGTAGTTTCACAACAGTCAGATTTTAAAAATGAAGCTTTGATAAATGGTGTTTTGGGGGAATAAAGCGTGTCAGACAGCTTTTGTTTTTATAGAGCCCTGGGAGAAGGGGTTTTGGTAGTCAGGAAGATGGGTTTGGTTGGGAGGTAGTTTTATCTGAAGCCTGTGGAGAATGCTTTTAGTATTCTAAGGATAAGGATGTGTTTGGGCCTTGTTCAGGCACATGCAAAATAGGCCAACAGCAGGAAAAAGCATCTCATCTGGTCTTTCAGCTTATTGGAGTGTTTGGTAATTTCCGAAAGGACAGATAGGGCTCAGGAGGTTGGATATACCCAATCTTGCTGTCTTCCACATTGCCTTCTTTTTGTCCCAAATGTCCATTCCAGTCTCCTGTTCTGAGCCCACCTCTATCCTGGGAAGCAGGGCTATGTTGGCTGTGCTGGATTCCACTGGTGAGCTGCTGGTTGTCATCTAGATGTGAGGTGTCTGATTCTGGGACAGTCCCAGCACCTTTCTGGTTTGTGCTGTAAGTGCCAGCAACTTCAGCAGTGTATTTTTGACGAGTCTGCCCTATGGCGAGTCTCAAGTCTTCATACGGCTTTTATATGAAATTTAAAGTAATTCTTTTAAAAAATTCTGACGGCAAGATCACAGCTGCCTTTTGCGTTTTGCCAAGTGCAGTCAGTAACTAATGCTCTGTGATTATATTTTTAAGGCAGCTTCAAATGTGATTAGGGGCTAGGATGAATGAGGAGTAAAGAGAAGAGTTGTCTTCCCTCAACATCAGCCTACCACCCAGGCCATTGTATGCAGTAGTAAATACACCTACTAGAGGCAAACGTGGTGCCTCTGTATTTACTGAAAATATTTTGACAATCAGCTATTTAACATGTCTGAAAAATGCCTCTCGTCAGTGCATCTCCTTTTATTTATGCTTGCTGTTGCATCACTTCATCTTACTTCCTTTCTGGTGGTAGCTTTCAGTATTTTTCATCTGTTATTTTCAATTTTCTTTCTTTTTCTCTTCTCTTCCTATATTGTCTATTTTTGACCCATTATTATGTCACTGCTTCCTAATCAATTTTGCTTTCTAATCAATGTCACTGCCTCTTCCCCGGTTTGCCCTAATTCCCCACAGTGAACGTGGTCAGAAGCACGTGGGGAAGGTAGTCAGGGTTCCTGAGTTCGACCTCTGGTTCTGTTGCTGTGTAACCGCTAGCGAAATCTGCTCTTGTTTTCTCTCTTTTTTCTTTTCTGTGTTTCATTTCATTTAGTGAAAGCCAAATGGACGATGTCTTGTGTCTCTCACTGCTTTTAATGGGATCTGGGTGCGGGCACTGGGGTTTGAATTTGGCACTTGAAAAGGCAGCCAAGACATGCCGTAATTTTATTTTTTCAACATGACGAAAAGTAAATGCTTTTACAGGCTTTAGTGTATCGAGTTTCACCTAGTTAAGAGAATCTGCTAATCTTTGATGGAAGCCTTTGTTAGATGCTCATGCGTTACAGTGATACGTACAGTGTAAACTGTTAGAAGGAAGGCTTGCGAAGTGTGGACACAGAACCAATGAATACTTCAGATGTTGTTCTGATCTGTAACACGTTTGTTGTTCCAATTACACCTGTTAGAGCCATGTCAACTGGGACAAATCTTGGATTTTGTAAACTGTAAGCAGCTTAAAATAACATTAACCTGAGAGCTACATGTGTGTGCTGGTCTGCACATCTGCCCGTGTACCTGACAGAGTTAATAATTGTACTTACTGTAAATAAGCCTTTGAAATACATATATAAAGTTATTTTTAAAATAAAACAATTTGTAGAAAGTCATTTCTCGGGCCATCAAGTTGCATGGCTGTTCAATAAATATAAGCACCTCCAGAAAGAGCATTATTTTTCAGCAAGATTTATAAATTATCTGTAACCTATCTTGGACTTGAAATAACAGTGTCAAATGCAGGCACGCACTAATTGCTACTCGTCTCAGGAAAATCCTGCAACTTGCAAACACCGATAGATTTTAGGAATGTTGCGGATGAATGTTTCTGTCAGTAAAGAAGTGTTTGTGACTCTGCTGAGTGGAGAGTAATGGATCTGCTAGGGCTGCTGTTCTCCATCATGCTCAGTGTGTCTGATTTAGACTGTGCATTGCTCCATATTCTGTAATTCTTCCACAGTGTTCAGCCATTTCTTCGGCATAAACTGCTGCTAATGTTTTGAATCTGTTGTTCCATGTAAAGAAGAGTGCATTTTGCAGAATGTATTAAATTTGAGTCTTGCAACCTAAGTTTTTGAAGGCTTTTTCTCACTTGTTGCAGGGGTGGATAATCAGAGTGTCGTCTGGGACCTACACACATGCTGCAGTGTCCCTTGAATACAACCAAATCCATGAACATTTTACATGGCCTTCATCGAGAAACTCTAAAGAATCCCTTCTCTGGCTGCACATACCCGTGGCCTACCTCCCCAGTCGCCAGTCCTATACTGCCAGATTTACGGTCTGTCTCTGCCACAGAAGAGATTCCTCGTTCCAACCACTTGGGTGCAGGAGCAGCTCTGGGTGGCAGCACAAGTTGCCAGCTGCTTGATGAGGGCGATGGTGGGATTACTGGAAGCGAAAGAGAAATTGAGGTATATGCAAGTTCACCTGGGGAGAGGTTTTATTGCAACTATGGCACAGGTCGTAAGGGCATCAGAGTACAAGAGAAAATGAGAGCCAGCCATCCCTATGGAGAAGCTGCTTTGCTTTCAGAGGAGCCCCGGGAAGCTTTTCTTGGCTATCCCATTTCACCTTCTACCAGGGGCCCGCTTTGCCTTGCAGAGAACTAGTTAGTAGTAAAGTCCTGTTGTTAAAGTACAGTCTGAGCAGAGGTGCCAATTTGCAGATATGCTTCTGTCATCAAAGTGGAAAGAAATTTGGCATTTAACACAATTTGGCATTCTATCTCTGTTTTCTGTGAAAAATACAATATGTCCTTCCTAAAATTGCATTCATTATTTTGCAAAGGAACCTGATGGTGTAGGAAGAAGCAAACTGAGGGAGTAAAGAGAATGGAGATGGAGGGTTTTGGGAATGTACAATGCAACAGAGAAGATTCAGAAGGGTGTGATTTGGAGCTGTGGGGATGTGTGCAGGTGGATGTGAGAGCAAGGAGAGAACAACAGGGCATAAAACGGCTATTCGGTACGAGTGGCGCAACAGCTCCAGGAAACTGGTTATGCTAACCAGGAGACCCTGATTGATTTGTCCTACTCAGGAGGGGGGAACAAAGGAGTCAGATTGTATTGATGAACTTGGTCTTAACAGTTAGTTTAATTGTTTAAAATTATTTAAAAATCAATAGAATTATCATATGAGAAAGTTTTCTGTAGTTTCATTTTATTGATCATGTGTCATATTTTAAATAATGTGAAGGGGAAAAAGTATGTTTGCAGGCAAAATCTTCCTTATGATGGAGAGAGCAAGGCTGAGGTTACATGCTCTTATGCTACCCAAATTACTGCTATGGAAATTTAGTAATTACTCCCAGGAGAATTACCATAAAGCAAAAAGAGTTAGGGTTAAACTTAGGAAAAAATCTATACGAGATAAATGACAAAAGTGCTTTAATTAGGATGAGATGCTTAATACTTTGTGTAATTGGATAATGAAAGTCTGCACTGCAATGAACTGGCATTTTTTTATTTCTTTTACACTGAGTTGTCTAGAAGTCTGTATAGGCATCTCTTCATTAGTATGCAGATCTAAACTGCATTTAAGTTTATGATTTTCTGAGATCATTACAGCATCTCTGTTATATGTGCTCCCTACATGCATGCTCAGCCTCTACTTGATTAAAAATCATCATTTGAACACTTTCAAAACGCTGGCTCTAGGAGTGGGTCTGACATAAAATTCATTACATTTCAGAGGTGTAACAATAAGTTACATTTTAAAGCAGAATTTATCATCAAAATGGATACTGAGACATGGTGGGCTCAATGGTGCTCAATTTCTCCCCTCAGCTCCTTTCACCTTCTTGGAGTTTGTTTTGCTGTCTTAACTGGCTGCCAGCCCCGAGCCTTCCTCGCTAGCAGCAAGCGGAGCAATGAACTCCTATCTTCTGGGACAAGTTATGCCTCAGCCCACCTGGTTGTTTCTCTGAAGCACCACCTGATATCTGGCTAACCAAAACCAGACTCTTCAGAAGGTGGGAAGAAAAGAACAAGGAAGAATTTCCAGGTTCTCCATGCGTGTTACCTTCTCTTGCTGACTCATACCACGTAATGCCTTTTTAACTACCATGACAGAGTTATCCATTAACAATGGCAAAGAAAAAAAATAATTCCTGTCTGGGTAAGCCTTATGACCAGATCTTTGAGCAAAGAAAAAGTAAACGAGAAAGCTGGTTGTAGACCCAGGAATGAGAATGGCTACTGTAGGGTTCAAAATGTTCCTTCCCTTGAGGTGTTGGGGAAACAAGTAGCACTGCAGGAGCGATGTGCAGTCTCGGTTCGGGAGCTTCTTGCGAATGCTGGTCTCAGACATGCTGTGATGGGCCAGAACTGACAGTGGTTGAAGCTCTGTGTTGGTTTTCTCCTCTCAAGACCGTGAAACGCCTGTGGCCTTTTAAAGGAATCTTTTATTCACGATTCAGGCAGGAATATCATGGCAGCAGAGGTTGGGAACACTCAGCCTGTGGTTCAGTCATCAACTAGAAGTTGGCAGTCCAGCAGAAAATAGTTGAAATGCAGTTCTTTCCAGAGAAATAGGCTCACTGTGCTTTTTTGTCAGTAAACTGGGCCAGTAAACTGGGCCAATATGAACAATACTGTGTAAAGCGGAGAGAGGCTTAGCTCGCTTTTATTCGTAGGCAGGAATATTCTGCCTCTATGTCCACTTTTGAGAGATTAATGCAAAATGGGATTGGCCAATGATCTAAATTAAGATTAAGCAGTCTGACTCTTGTACCAGGAAATAGTTAGCAGATGTCAAGTAATTTCTTATCATGTGAATCTTTTCACTCAGAAAGGTAGTGCTTTAAGTTTGTTTTTCCAGCCTAATGTGCTCACAGAGTGCAACATACAACATCAGTTTTGCCTATGGGAGCTACAAGTAATACTTCTGTAATTAATAGTATTGCATCTCAGTTGTGGACATGTTAGCTGGCATTGTAGTCATTCAGAGAAATCACAGCTGTTAGTGGTACAGAAGGGGTGGGGGTTTAAGCTTTCTCAGAGCAGGTCTCTTACCAGGCTACAAAAACAGGCAACTGCTGCTGCCTACGAACACCCTTTCTTACCTCCTTTTGGCAGACCGATCATTTCTGTTTAGTGGCCCGGGTGAAGTTTGTCATTTGTGTTTGCATTTCTGTGCTGTTGTCCTAATGTGCCATCAGGATCCTGTTTTGATCTAGTAACTGCTTAACATTTTTAACGTTTCCCCTTGGATAGACAAGGTTTGATATGGCATCAGGGATTAGGAGAATTCCCATCGTGGGATTGAAACTGATGTGGAACTGGCCTGGCTGGCTCCTCGCACACTGTGCATACACTCCCTCAGCCCAGTTGCACGTGTCTTCTCATTCTCAGAGGGGCAGAGAGATACGGCTCTACTTACAACTCAGGAATCGCCAGTCCTCGCATCCCCATGCAGCTGCCCCTGTCACGGAGGCCTTAAATCTCCGACTGTCCTTCTAACTGTTCCCCCTCCAGACTTGTGGAGGTACCAGTCTGCAGCCGAAACAGCCGTAGCCTCCGGTGTGCTCATTGCACTGACCTGTTACTTGTTGTCAGATTCCATAAGGTACCGCTGAGGTTCCTGTGATGCGTTGCAGATATCTGGTATGTATATTGCTTTCTAATTTATGCTTTACCCTGTTCTTTTTTTCCAGCTTTTTAACAGAAACATGGATGTTACTGTGGTGACTGTAACCAAGCAAAAACACACAGTTCGTATTGAGATAGTTGTACATTTGTGGACCTGGGTATAATTAAGAGATTTTTCAAAGCGCGCTGTGTTTTTTGCCCTTCCCTGCAGAAGAGAAAGGTTTCTAATGAACTTTTAGTGACACAGTATAAAGTGGAAATGTGTGATTCATCTTCAAAAGCATGTGTGTATTAGTGTGTATATATACAAACACACATATATTATGCAAACAAATGCTGTGACTTCTAGCTAGTTAGAGATTTAGAAGATATTTTCTCCAAGCATAATTAAGATTGTTTAGATATTTGACTTCATTTCTGTATGCTTTATTTGGATTTCTTGTTAAATTTAATTTTACCTTAGAATTTCCAGGTTTATAATTCTGGGGGTTTGAATAATTGCATTATCTCTGTAATATATTTTACTGTAAATCACTGCCATGTAGCCTTGACGTTGCCTCCATCTTCAGGGTTTTGTTCAGTTTTATAATGTAATTTCCCTGCAGTGTGAGGCTTTTGAGGAGACAGCATTCTGTCTCACCTGAGGAGTGCCTTTCCAAAAAAGGTGAGAATGTGCTATCTGAAAGATGTGATTATTACTCTTGAAATTCAAAACTGTAAACTATGTGAGTTTTGAAGCCAAATGTATCATTCTAATTTAGTTTCTTAGAGAAATTAAATAGAACAAGTGTAGCAATTAATGAAAAGGAGGATTGTAGTGCAAACCTAAATTCCTAGTATACTGATAACTGAAAATTAATCTCAGCAATTAGATATGAGAGCTATTTTCCTCCAGTGTGTAACTCTCTGAAATTTTAGTGAATGTTAATAATAAATTAGAAGACTGATAAGCTGTTTCTCTAAGCTCATTTAAGACATGAAATGCATCAAATGCTGCATTTCTTAAGGACTCCATTTTTAATGAGTCACAAGCTAACAGAGGACTGAGTTGAAAATCCTCTAGAATATTGCCTATCTTCGGTTAATAGAGTCACTGAATGAAAGGGTAGGAGGCACCCTTTGATCAAGTAGTTTGAGCACCTTCCTATTACAGCCATTGCATTTTACCTCCTCAATTTAGTGCTGAGCCTGGTAGCTCATGTGTGACAGCAGCGGATCCCTCGGTAAGGCATCAAGCCTTGATCTGAAGGCTGGAGGAGGGAGAAGGATGAGATGGAGGATTGTTTCTTTCAGTCATTTGCTCCAGCTGTTAACCACCCCATCATTAAAAATCTATGCACCTTTTCCTTTTTTTGCCTGCCCACCACCCCTCCCAACAGGCATTATAGGGAGGATAAGGAGCAACTTTATATGTTTAATGAAGAGCTTGGATACCTGCTCTGGGTTCAGTTTAGCCTTGACCATGGAACTGTGATTGCA